ATGACCTTGACCAAGCACGCCCGCCTTGGGCAGGATGGCTGTGGTGGGCATGGAGACGTAACCTGTGTGTGGAGCGTCTGACACCCCTGAGGCGTGCAGTGAGTGCTGCGTCGACAAGCGGATGCGGCCTCTGAGCGCCTTGCGTGGACACCACCCGACCTGCTCCTCTTTGTTAGCATCCGCCTCCGAGGGTCCGCTGAGAATAAATGTGGTCTGGGAGGTGCGATGTGGCCAGAGTGTGGCCGACTCGCTGGGGGGCGGGGTGGGGGGCGGGCCTTGACCGAGGGCACCAGGTGACCTGTGTTCGCAGCCTGGGTTGGCCTTGGGCTCTGCAGTCAGCGAGCCCTGCATGTCTGTTTTCTTCAGTGTGGGTCTCAGTCAGGCTCCCCGTCTTCTACTCACTTCCTGTTTGGGTGACTTCTGGGTCCTAAGAGCAGAACCTTATGTTTGTGCCTTGAGGTGCCTCCATGCAGGAAGTGAATGGATATGATGGCTCTGGAACCATTTGGATGCTCTGGGTTTCAACCAGGGACAAGTTACCTAATCTCTGTAAGTCCTGGCTGCCTTATTCTGACAGGACATTTCTCACCAATAAGTGGTTTCTAGAAGGGGAGACGGGAAGGTGGCCCAGAAGTGGGAAGGGCAGCAAGTTGCTTCTGCCTCTGGGACTGCAGGGTCTGTGGGAGGAGGGACAGGAGCAGAGCCAGGGGGCTGGGCCCTGAGGTGACAACCCCAGCAGGGCCTTCCTGGTGGACAGAGGAGGGGCCTGTTTTAATGATCTCCCATCACCTGGTCGGTGAGGAGAGGTTCCTGCCCTAGTGTTACGGGGACGGCCGAGCACATGACACCTGGGATGGGGCAGATGTAATGGCATTTTCTAGTCACACATACAGCCTGGATGAGGGCATAGTGTGTGCACGTGGGGCCACGTGGGGCTGTGGGAGGTGGGCTGTAGGAGGTGGGTGGGCGCAGTTGGAGCCTGTGGGGGATATCGTTGACCTGTTTGAGTAAGGCCATGTGCTGGAGGGAGCTGAAACCCGCCACATAGCAGGGCGGTGGGACGCGGGGTGTGGGGCGGCTGCTGGTGAGGCTGGTCCAAGCCCCTCCCCTCCCATTTCCACCAGATGCCGAGGTAGTGTGTGACTTTGGGCCTTGATTTTAGGCCCGAAGCAGGGGTCGTCTGGCAGGCCTGGGAGCCACGAAGGTGACATGGCTGCTTCCAAATGGCACAAACGCCCCCTCCCCCCCCGCCTCCTTCCTGTCTCCCTTCCTCCCCCTCCGTGCATTGTAGCCCCAATGTTTATAGTGCTTCACACACACTGCTTTGCTTAATCTCCAGAGCAGCCCTGTGATGTGGGAGTTGTCACCCCTTGTCCACGCAAGGACACCTTGGCTTGATGGAGTCATTGCCCTCTATCTGTTCCAGTTAGTCAGAGACGGAGGCATCGGACCTGAGGCCACGTGACCTGACGTGCAGGGTCCGCAGGAGAGTGAGAGGCCCCTCTGCAGGCCTGTGCCGGGCTTGGCACCCAGGCCCGTATGTCCGGCTCTGACCTCTTGTTTCCTGCGAGGCTCTCCTACTGACTGTGCTTCTCCCACTCAACATGGATGTTTCTCCATAAGGTGATACAACCTGGATCGTCCTTGTTGTGGGGAAGCTCAGGTCAGCTCTGATTCCACATACGAGAGCAGGGGTGCGCTGATGTGGTCAGAGAGAGGAGGCTGCGCAGCAGGGGCGCAGGTGAGCTGGCCCTGAGCTCAGCGCTCTGTGCCTCTTTGTGCCTCGTGCACGGACACAGGTGATTGCCTTGCAACACCCACGGGTCTGGAGTTTTCTTAGTACTTTGATCTGTCACATTGTAAATGGTTTGCCTTCTCCTTTGCCTTTGGGAATGGATCAGAATTTTCTGGGGGGATTGGGAAGTCTCATGTTGCCTCAGCGACACCGTCATCACCACCACTGTCATTGTCATTGTAGAAAAACTGTATGGTGACTTCTTGAGCTGGAACCTGGAAGAAACCCTTGCCCAGTTTCCTCTGCAACCTGGGAAGGTGGCCACTTTCGTCGTCAACATCAAGGTGAAACTGGATTTCTCATGCCAGGAGAATCTCCTCCAAGACCTCAGTGACGGTGAGCCCCCCCTCCCCCAGCCCCCCAGTTTTAACAGAACGTCGTGGCCCCTCGGGCTTGCTGCTTACCCGCTGTAACCTGCTTGCCATTCATTAGCTCGAGCTGCTCGCGACTTTTCCTGGCATTTAGTTGGCCCACTGAGTTACTGTATAGATTTGAAAGTCATAAGGGTACTTTTTAGTTAAATCATTTCTTAATTTCCCAGTCTTTACTGTTTTGTGCTCCTTTGCCAGGAGGTCGTCTCAAATTGGCGGAGCTACTGCATTTTTTTCAAGTATAACTGCCGTGATCTAATTATCTGTGACGATACAGTTCTCTGTCAGAGTCTGGTGATTTCTGTAAGGAGGTGGTGTCTGGAGAAAATGGGCATTAATACTTGCTGTAGCGCTAGGACTAGCTGGTGAGGAGTCGGATTTCCTAGATTCATTGCGTCCAGTTGTGAATGAACGTATGCGTTCATACGTTCGTTTGGAGGCATCGTGGTGCGTGTTTGTTAGCTCAGGCTGCTGTAACGAGATACCACAGACAGTGTCTCCGTAGGACAGAAATCGATTTCCCGCGGTTCTGCAGGCTGGGCGTCAGGGTGCCGGCACGGTGTCCCCTCCTCTTCTTACAAGGACACCAGCCCTGTTGGGTTATGGTTTCACCCTCGTGGCCTCACTTAACCTTTATCGCCTCCTCACAGTCCGTATCCCCAAACACAGTCACATGTGGGGTCAGGGCTTCAGCACTTGAATTTTGGGGGCCACAGACATTCAGTTGAAGGGGATTGTTTGAGACGGCGGGTTCTGGCACTAGAACTTCCCATGTTGCTTTGGGCGAGTGACTCTGGCTTGTCTGTGCCTGAGTCTTCTAGTGTAAGTGACCGTCTCTAGGGTCGGTGGGAGCATTTGCACTTCACCGGGAGCGTGGTCAGGGCTCAGCGGCTGTCGTTGTACTCTGTTCCCCATCACTCATTTAGAGCGTGACGTGACACCTAACTGTCTCTGATTATGAAACAGGCACTGGAGTAGGTTCTCGGACCGCAGAATGGGTGATGGTCGGTCGCCCGGAGAACAATGAGGGTGATAGCAACTAAGAGCTAAGAGGTTTACACAAATGGACCACTTAATTCTCACAGCAGCCGTTTGAAATAGACGCTCTTAATGCCTCCATTTTACAAGTGAGGACCTTAAGGCCCAGAGAAGTTGACGAAGTCTTCAAAGGTCACACAGCTAGGAAGTGACAGGGCTAGGCTGTGAACCCCGTCAGCTGGCTCCAGAGTGTGTCCTTGTAACCCTTCTGCGGCCCGTTGTTGCCCAGAGGGTCAGCCAGAAAAATAAATACGGAACCGGAGCGCCCTGTGACTCAGGGACATCGTGAGTCGGGATCTGTATCTGTATCTGGTCGGGACCAGTAGGGGCCCCCAGAGTTGATGGTGTGACTTGGGCCTTGACCAGGAAGTTTCTTCGATAAAGAAAAAGCATGGCCCCCAGGCCTTGCGAGGAATTGGTGGGTACAGAGGCCCAGAGGCCTGTCAGTTAGGAAGTGGGTTTTGCCTCCAGGGGCTAGATGTCTGTCTGTCTGTCTGCCTCTCTCTGTCTCTGAGAACGGGGCTCTCTTACCCAGCCGGTCTCTCCCAGCTGGACCTGGGTGCTTAGGAATGATGCTGTCCTATTGAACCCGAGAGGTAGAGAGGTTAGTTAACGCTTCGCGTTCCCATCATGGGGAATTCTCTTCTTCCCTCTTGTCCCTCCGAGGAGTCTCCAGCCATACTGGCCACCTGTCCGAGGAGCACGCCCAGCTGTCCTGCCTCAGGGCCTTTGTAGGGGCTCTGCTCTTACCCGAATTGCTTTCCCCCACAGTCTGCAAGATCCGCCCCGCGTTGTTCAGATCTCCATCCAGAAGCCTCCCTTGCAGAGAGGCCGCCCTGACCCCGTCAGTGGGACCAGCACCTCTTCCCTCGTCATTCTTGTTGCAGACAAGAAATTGCCTTTAGAGAAGTTTCAGGGAGCAATGACCCCATCTGTCCCGTATTCACCCTGTCTGGGCTGCAATGGAGAGAGAGCTGTTGCACAGGATGTAGTCAGGACAAGTGATTCCTCCTCCTTCCTTACTGTGGGGGCTCTACCCTTATGACCTCCTCTCAATGTCATTACCTCTCAGGGGCCACACCTTGGAGCACTGTCACACCAGGGGCTAGGGTTTCAACATAGGGATTTGGGGAGGACATAAGCATTTAGTCCATAACGCACTGCATGAAATTTGCTCTCCTGTACTCTGTGGTATTTGACCATAGCTAGGCTCCTCGTATAATACTAATATTGGATTAAAATTGTTTGTATGTTATTAATGCAGGTAGAAAAGCCAGTTTGCTGTTGGACACTTTACAAACTGTGAAAATGTCAAGTGGACCTAACATTATACCAGGCCTGAATATCAGATAAGATGGATTTTTTTCTGCTTGTAAACTGCTTGATAGCACCAGAGTGCCCTCCTCTGCAAGTAGACAGAGGGCTGCAGACAGAGGTTCTGACTTGTCTTTTTCCCGAGAAGGGAGTTTGGCCGAGTAAATGGTGCCTGACACCTGTCCAGGGAGTGCTTGATTAGATGCTGTCCCCGGGGCCTGTCTGGGCAGATAGACTTCCAGCCGAGCTACCTGGCTGTGGGCAGGGAAGGACAGGACACCGACTTGGCTGCCTGTCGAAGGGGGCGCGCTCTCCCTGAGCGACACAACGGGAGGCCTCCGGGGGCCCCACCTGTCTTCGTTTTGGTGGCCGTGTGAGCTTATGTGCTCAGGCGCACATAGCTTGTTATGTTAGTGCGTTTCCACCTCTTGTTACGGAGCTCTGGAGCGTGGTCTCTGCAGCTCCGAGCTGAAAGTAAAATTGTAATCTGAGATTTGTCGTCTGGGAATACGTTCGCCTGTCCTTTAAAATAAAACCGGATCGGGGCGCCTGGGCGGCGCAGTCGGTTAAGCGTCTGACTTCAGCCAGGTCGCGATCTCGCGGTCCGTGAGTTCGAGCCCCGCGTCAGGCTCTGGGCTGATGGCTCGGAGCCTGGAGCCTGTTTCCGATTCTGTGTCTCCCTCTCTCTCTGCCCCTCCCCCGTTCATGCTCTGTCTCTCTCTATCCCAAAAATAAATAAACGTTGAAAAAAAAAATTTTTTTAAATAAAACCGGATCAAAGAGAGCTAGGATAATGATCGCTGAGTTGTTTGTAAATGGGAGGCTGCCCTAATTTCCCATCAGTTAGCGATGGCACGTGGGTGACACGCAATGTGTTTGTTATGAACTAGATGCCCTCTCTGCTGATAACGGTGAACAGACGCTCTGGCTGGTCGTTTTCATGGCAGATTGTAGAATCTGAGGCACAGAATCTTAATGGCCACAACCAGGGCAAGTTTTATAGAGGAACAAAAGCTGGGCACCATGGCCCACAGAAGACCCTTCCAGAGTATACCCTCACGTGTAGTTCAGGCTAAGGGGTCAAGAACTTAAGACACAAGACAAACAAAAAAGAAACAAGAGACAACCCCCCCCCCCCCCCCCCCCCCCCCCCCGCCCCACCCCAAGCTCTCACACACAGAGGACGGACACACCAGTGGTTGCCAGAGCGTCGGCGGGTAGGGGGACTGGTGAGCCAGGCGAATGGGGTTGGGAGTCACCGACCTGGATGAGCACTGGGTGACGGGTGTATGTGTTGAATCACGGTACTGTATACCTGGAGTTGACAGCTCCAGAGAGGCCACGTGTAGTCCTGCTTGGAGACACCCATAAACTCGGTGACAGTGGCCTCTTGGAACTGGGAGGTGACCTGCGTGTGGCTCTCAGTCTGGCACTTTCAGAAGCCTTCATCCAGGAACCACTTGTGGACCCAATTTGCTTTTCCAGCATGGACTCAGATTAACTGTGGGTACCGAAATTAGATGCCATTTGAAGAATTTAGAGCAATAAATATAGCTATCATGCAAACCAGGAGACTGGATTCAATGTGCGTTGTGGACAGATGGAAGAGAATTAATATTTATTGAGCAATGTTAGAGGCTGCACAGAAGCCTGGATCAGCCACTTTGTTTGTACAATTTCTATTTAACCTTCCCAACAGCTCTGTAAAGTAGATGATCTTACAAAACAATTCCCATTTTGTAAAAACAGGTGGGGGGACTGTTCTAGATTAAAGGAGATTGAGGAGAAATCCAACAGTGAAATGCTGGATGCGATCCTAATCGTATCCTGGGTTGAATAAAAATGCTCCGAGGACATTTTTGGGACCTCTGTGTTCCAGACGGGGCACGGGAGCCACAGACACAGCCGAGCAGGCAAGGGGCTCACTCACGCTCTCCCCGTCCCCGAGGGAGAAGTCTTGGGCCGGGATCTGGCCTCTCTTGGGGTTGGGCTGGCTGTGCTGCTGTGGGAGGGGGACGCAGCCCTCCTCGGTGTGTCCACTCTTGGGTTTCTTGGAGCCGACGCTCACCGCTGGACTCCCAGACTCTCACAGGGGCTTTCTCGCACGTGGCTGATGGTCTAAATCAGTGTGCTTTGTGGGGAGGACCGTGGAAAACTGACTCCTCCGTGATGACGAGGCCACTCCCTGCAAAGTAGTTTTAAACTGTGTTAGTAATTATTTTGATGGAGATGATGTTGGTATTGGTATTCTGAAACTGTGTGGAATAAAGTGAGTGATTAGTTTTGTGACCATCTGATTCTAGCATCTGGTCTTGAACTAGGACTCTTGTACGGAAGAGATGAGGTAACGGATGTAAGCTAGTAGAGATTAAGTAAGAGCCTTGTCGTCTAGGACTGGAATAAAAATGCCAATACGAAATTGTGAGGTATTTAAAAACCAGCCTGTCTGTCTGCCAAGGCCTAGACACTGACCAGCCCCAGAGCAGGGAGCCTTCCTAATCCCCACATCATGGTCTGGAAACCCTCCTCCCAACTTGGAAGCCAGGGTTCCTCGGAGAAGTGACCATTCCCGGTCTGGAGCTGGCAGTGTAGGAAGATGATCTTGGAATGTGG